TAAGGTTCTTTTCAACCTTAAAAGAATAATCATCTTAAATATCTTACCAATTAACTCTGCATCATAGTTATCATGGTTTGCCAGATGAAATAAACTTTCCTGCCCCCTTAAAACATAACACATATATAAACAGAACACTCTAGTGCACAAATGTTGAACTCTATTATGCAAATTAGAGAATGAATCGAACGCTCTCAATCTAAAAATGGAGGTCCTCTTAGAGCTGGAGTTTATTAGAACCAGAGGGACAAGGCTCTCCATTTTTGTAAAGTTTAACTGTTAGTAATATTTTTCTCATAGCAACAACATTCAAGATTCTTTCTTCACAGTGTTGGTGGTTTTGGTTCTGTACCTCTTACAGATCCTGTTCCCCAAACTCACATATATAACAGGACCAGGAAGAAGGGCCAATGGTGTGCTAGAGGTCCTGCCTCACCACTAGCATTCCACTCCACCCTGTTATTGCAATGAGAAAATACAGGTATCGGTTTGGTAAACTTTAAAGTTTTTTCTGAGAAGACAGACATCTGGATTTTTCTATGACATCTCCTGTCTTTCAATATGGGTTATTAATTTAAAAATAACTAAATCCTGTTTGGGCCAGACAAAATCCTTGGGTTGGCTGAATTTGGCCAGAATTCTTGGTGCCATTTTTTTTTTTTTTTTGCTTCTAAGTGATGCATATGTCCATATTATGTATGAGGTTTTTGCAGTTCTGCAAAGCAAATATGTAAGTTATATTTTTCTTTGATGAAGTGTGTGAAAAATAGTAAGCCCCCGGCATATTGTGGATATTTTGTCTAGTATTTAATAAAAATGTACAGTGTTTATATCTGCCAGATACTATCCTGAATATGCTAAAAACATTAACATTTAACTTAAATATCCATTGAGAGAGTCGTAGGACTGATGAAATAATGTGATTGAATATGACTTGAAATAATATGGTTGTCGATATTTAGGAAGACGTGTAAAAACAAAAAACAAAACCCATTAAATATAAAATCTTCAGAAATGTATATGAACAAAACTCAGTGTTCCTACTTTTATAAACAAAATTTTAAAATATTTGTAGTTCTTAGCTTCAGGATGTTTTCCATGTTATCCTTGGCATGTAGCGCACCATCTGGCACATAGTAGGTACTAGTAAATTATTGAATTCACACTTGTTTAAGACTTACTTTTTAAAAGTGTGTGCTTGAAGTGTTAAAGTGAAACCCTGTTCTCTCCCCTTTATATGATGCGGATTTCATTTCGCTTAGTGAGGTCTGGCAGGTGGGATTGGAAGAAATTCATGTCAGAAGAATGTTGAAAAATA